CACTTCATTTTATTTTTTGGGCGTCTTAAAAGGAAACAAACAAACAGAAATTCAACAAACAGGTTCATCATCACCTCATGGAAAATGTGACATTTACACACAATGCAGAGTTGGCACAAATGAAAACAAACGCAGACAAAATGGGTTGACTGATTTTGGTTCCGAAATGGCAACTTCAACACTAGAACAACAACGTGAATTCATGCTCTTCATCACAGGTTTAAGGGTCATTTACTATTAATAACTGTGAAGCTGCTGGAAAAGACAAAGCAATGGGTGCAAATGTCTGCCTGATCGACCTTCTGTGGTAGTTTTCAAAAATAACTTGAAATGATCAAACTAATACTGTAAAGTTCAGCTTTTCTCTACTGTATATGATGGTTTAACATCCTTCGTGGCACTGAGATTAACTCTAAAATACATTGTGTTAAACTACAGTTGTGTATCACACACATTATAATAAATAAAGCAATACAAAAATAAGACGTATATTAAAAAGGTTCTACAAATGAAACATTTGTCAGTGACAATAATACTGATGGTATTACACAATATACACATGCATAAACTCAAAAGGAATAAACATTTTCAAATACAATGAACTTAATAATACTTGTAAGGTCTGCTCGCAATCAAATAAAACAGTTTAATCCTATGCGCCTTTTCCAAAGTGCTGCTTTCGTTGTGCACTTCAAAGTCTTATTACAAATGGTCTGGATGAAGATTTGGTTTTGTCGGTAGGGCCGTGAACCTGCAAAATGACTCATTTACTCGCTCTCAAGTGGTTCCAAACTTCAATGAGTTTCTTTTTTCTGTTGAACTCAAATGAAGAGAATGTTGGACACTGAAAGAAAACAAAATACTATGGTCGTCCAGGTGGTCCAACATTCTTCAAAATATCTTCATTTGTATTCAACAGAAGAAACAGATTTGGCAGAGGGGAGTAAATGATGTCCTATGGTTACTATATTACTTCAATGAAAAAACTGTACAAAAGCACGCACATCCCTCTTAACTGGGTGCTCAGCCAAAAACGCAAAAGGTGCAAATTAAATGTTCAAAGGCAGCAACACCAAAGCTCCAAAAATACAAATTTATTAAATTAAAAATCAGACACAAAGCGTGTAATTTAATAAATTTGTATTTTTGGAGCTTCGGTGTTGCCGCCTTTGATGAACATTTACTATATTACTTCATCCTTTATCTTGCATCTAACTGCTATGTTTTCATGACTTGGTTTGGCTATTTATTTGATCATATATGATTCCAGACACAATAATAAAAGTAGTGATAATAGCTGAAATTACATTAAATCTCAAAAACAGCCAAAACATTTGGATATAAAAAGATTTGTGTTAAAATTTGGATTGATTTAGTTTGGTAGGGCTACGTACAGCTATGAAAATAATTAAGAGACCACTTGAAATTTCTCTGTTTCTCCAGATATTTTTGATTTATAGTTGTGTCATGAATTTATTTTGTTTAAAACTTCTGCAAATGACTGATTTTAAGTTTTTACAAATTAGTTTTTTCCATAGTTATTTTTAAACTACACAATACCAATGGTTTAACTTCATGAAAATCATTAAAAGTCAAATAAAATTCATGTGGTCTCTTAACAGTTTCCACAGGTTTATGCTTTATTGAAGTATAGTCTAATCTGCAATACTCATCTAAATTAGGCAAACGGAAATGGAAACATTTTCTAAACATCGAAACTGAGCTATAACGCTGTGCCATTTCAGATTATCACAGGTAGAGGGCAGTGTCATGTATGTTGTCCAGTGTTTCCCAACTGTGTACCTAAAGGCACACCAACACATTTTCAACCTCTCCCTAATCAAACACACCTGAATCGACTCAGAACATAGGATGAGACTCCAAAACCTGAAGTTAATGGGTCAGATAAAGCTGTGGTCACAGAGTTTGAGCATGCAAAATTCTGCCGTGCGGCGCTGTGAAAAGGGGCGGGATTAAACAAGCTTATCAGCCATTTTTAAAAGCAAGCGATTGCTCCATGTTTTCAATTTCTGTCCAGAGAGGTCATGTTTTGATTCTCGATTGGTCTCACGCAGTCAAGTGATGCGATTTCGCTGGTCAGAGTTCACCAAGCTTGAACTTTGCATGCATGACCCTGCGTTTCCGGTCCGATGCATTCATGTCTTTGTGCATGAATGGAAGTCTATGGGAGGAAAAGCCCAGTGTGACCGCAGCTTAAGGGAGCTGGTTGTGGCCAGAAGTTAACGAGAATTATTTATTAAATTTCCTATTTATTGTTTTTTTACGTCTACCTTCACCCTAAACCCATCTCAGTAATGTAAAAATAGGAGCTGTACCGAGTACTATTTGTTGTTTATTAAATTTCCCATTAATTGTAAGTTATTAACATCTACCCTGACTGTCACAGTACTGTAAAATTATTCATTATTGTTATACAGTGTCACTCAAATGATGCTATATAGATGTGCTGTATCCTATCTGGGAGACATCCAAAATATGTACTGTTGGTGTGCCTCCAGGAATAGGGTTGGGAAACACTGCATTAGCCAAATCTGTTGGGATTGGGTTTTGACCAATATGTCGGGCTTATTTTCCTGGTAGCTTCTAGATTGTCCACAGTGTGACTGTTGAGCATTGTTAATGTTTGTGAATGGCACTTACAGCTTGGCGGTCTTGCATAAGGCTGTGGGTGTGCAGTTCCTCAGAGCATCTCCTATGATGGGTGTCAAGCTCAGTTCCTGGAGGGCCGCTCCCCTGCAGAGTTTAGATTCAACCCAACTCCAACATACTAACCTGTAGGTTTCAAACATACAGAAGGACTTCGTTTGAGCAGGTGTGTTTAATTAGGGTTGGAACTAAACCGTGCAGAACTGCGGCCCTCCAGGGAACTGAGTTTGACTCCTGTGTCCTATAAACAACGACTGACACGTTACACACACACGTATAAATCAAACAACACGTGAGAAACTCTTCCAGTTTCAAATGACAAACACTGAAGATTGTGAAAAGTCTTATTTCTTTTTTTTTTTTTCAAACAGTTTGCAACATATTTTGGAGTGCTTATAAAAATGTATTTTCTCAGTATAATTAGGACTATTCATTTACAATTTTGTGGTTTAAATTGCAATGATTCAACCGATAAATGACAACTAGCATTCCTATGTATGTCTTCATAATTAATGATTAAAAAACAAACTCTCACTAGTGAAGTGCATCTCAATGTCCTTCATAAGGCAGACAAACAATCATATGGGAAAACGAGGCAATGCCAATAACAGCTTGCCTAATTAACGAGACAAAAAGTCAAATAAAATACTGAATGGTACTCTAAACTTGAGGCATTAAGTATCTGCGGTCAATCTCACAAAGAAATGTCCAGGCCATATTTCACCCCAAAACAATCCACAAAAAAGGACCTATTATTCTGTTTTTGTATGAACAAAAAAAATAGTATATTTGCAATTAATTATTTGACAAAATATTTTTTAATGTGCCTTCAGTATGAGAACCATGTCTTATTTTATTTTATTATAGGACTGGGCGATACGACAAAAACAAACGCAATCTTGATAGTTATTATCTCATAAGATTTTAATGCTTCCACTTTTAAAAGAATATCCCAACAAATCCACAAAAATTAGAGTGTCAATAATTATAATTTCCCTACACTTATATAGCGCTTTTCTGGACATTCAAAGCGCTTTACACATTGGAGAGAATCTCCTCATCCACCACCAGTGTGCAGCATCCACCTGGATGACATGACGGCAGCCATATTGCGCCAGACCGCACACCAGCTGATTGGTGGAGAGGAGACAGAGTGATGAAGCCAATTATGATATGGGGATGGTTAGGAGGCCATGATGGACAGAGGCCAGTGGGCAAGTTTGGCCAGGATACCGGGGTTAAACCCCTACTCTTCCTACTCCAGGATGTCCTACTCTAAGGACATCCTGGGGTTTTTAACAACCACAGGGAGTCAGGTCTCATCCAGAAGACTGCACTCACTGATCAGTATAGAGTCCCCTTCACTATACTGGGGCGTTAGGACTCACACAGACCACAGGTTGGGCGCCCCCTGCTGGCCTCACTAACACCACTTCCGGCAGCAACCTGGCTTTCCCATGTGGTCTCCCATCCAGGTACTGACCGGCCGCAGCTCTGCTTGGCTTCAGTGGGCGAACACGTATAGTGTTGGTTTTGTCCATATATATGTCTCTTATTACGCAATCACATGACCTTTTTTAATGCGCATATTGGAATTTGTTAAAGTGTTTCCATCGCAGTTTATAAGCATCTTTTTTCATCGAATAAAAAGTTTATCGTGCTATGCGTATACGTATCTTGGTGTTTCCATCAAGCGTTTTTTTTTATTATTCTTTTATGTGCATATCCAAAATACACATAAAAATAGGTGGAAGGAGACATAGCTACTAGAATCCAAAGATGCAAATTAAATTTATGTGCAAAACTGGAATAAAAGATGTGTGAATTAAACCGTTTCCATCCCAGTAGTCAAAGAGAACAAAACCGTCACTTCCTGATTAACTGGTGCCAAATATTACAAGTAAAAACGGAATTTGCTGCAGTAGGAGAAGCTGCGTCAATCTTTTATTTAATAAATAACTTGACCTTCAGAAGATGATGACGCAATGAACGCGTAGTGGTGTTTAAAGACATGAGACTTGGAGCACAGATAATCTTGACAATTCTGGAGGTCATTAATAACATAAAACTATTACTAAAACAGTTCTATAGTTTTACAATGACCAAAACAACATTTCAGATGTTCTACAATGTGCTCGGCCGCTGGTTTGTCTGTTCACACACATTTTCATCATCACATGATCTCTTATAACAAAATCACATGACTTTAATGCGCATACTGGAATGTGTTTGGTAAAAGTGTTTCCATCGTAGTTTATGCACATCTTTTCTTATCGAATAAAACTTTATCCTACTCAGTTATGCGCATGTTTTTTTTTATGTGCTTTTTTAAAATGTAAGCACATCTTGGCGTTTCCATACACCATTTTTTATGCACATATCCATAATTTAACATTTTACCCTTAGACTGAAGGTTTATTATTTGCATGTGTTTTTAACAAGCATTTCAAGCAAATTCAAGCCAAATATTTGTAGCTTAAAGGTTAAAGTGTACATTTATATAATTATTTACTCAATGAAAACAATGTTGTTGTTGTTGGTATTATTATACAGTGATTATTTAATTTAGCTTCTGCATACTGCTTTACTCTCCAGAAAATCATAAATCATTGTTTATTTGAATCTTTTCTTTGTTGTACTGAACTTTGCTTGTCATTTTAAAAATAAGCCAATATTTTATGCAGACATGCTCCCCTATAGCCAACAATCAATTCCACATAGATCTTTACAAGCTATTCAAGTCAAATTGCATTTTTATCGCAATAGAGACCATTTCAGTGTGGTCATGTCATTGGCCTGTGAACATTTCCTGCTTATCACACTATTTTATAATAGTAACAAGAGGCAATTCAATCATAACTTACTGTTAAAACAGCTATGAGAACATTATTTATCAACATATGGCTCTTTTTGTTTTCTCGGAAGCTATAGAGATTAAAAATGTAAGAGAGGGAATATGTTGGGACTATTGTTTTAGTTTACATCCGTCAAGATGGTCAATATATCGCAGTAAATGAAAATAAATCATGTCAGTTTTTTCCAATATCGTGCAGCTCCAGTTATACGCATAAATTTGATAGCGATTCGATATTGTTTATCAGCCCAACCCTATTTTATTATCAAAAACGGCATTAATTCAAAAGATACGGCATGAAATAAAATCAACATATTTACAATGGATCTGTACAAATGTTACAATTGTGAAAATTACTGAAAGGTGTTAAATTATGATTAAAATAATGCCTGTGATGCTCCTAAAACATTTGTAAAAATTTTTGGAGTGAAAAATGACCCTCTTAGACAGTTTTCATGAGAATCACCCCTGTAAGTAAACCAGTTATACCTGCAGTGCAGAATTTTAGCTTTGTTTTTCAAAACTTTTCTTAAAATACTGAATTTTTTTCGTAAACTTCATTGGCAAATATAAAGGTATAGAAATCTTGACTGTACAGAGCAACGAAAAACACGTGAACACTGAGATAAACTGACATACCGGGCCGGATCAGTAACGGAACAAAGCCAAAACAACCGAAGTCCTATGAAGTCTAGTTGTGTTGGGAGTTTCTCCTATTTTGTTGTTCTTTTTTCCTTCTCTCCAACAAGGAATCATTGTTTTATGTAAATCAGGCACACCTGGGATTTATACACAGTAAAGAGCTGAGGCTTCACAGCAAATTCAATCCTCAGTTTCCATCTCCATGTTTTCCTCATTACTAGTGAAAACCGTGTCCTCCCTCGTTTCCTCCGTCTCCACATTTTCCCCGAGCTCCAGCTCCATTATCATTCCTCCATCCTCAGTCTCTTCTTCCACTCCGCTCTCCTCCTCATCATCGTATTCGTCTCCTATCTGCACCACTCTGATGTCGCTCATGTCCACGGCTGATAAGTCGTCTTCCTCTTCCTCCTCCTCTTCTTCTTCATCGCTCTCTCTCTCGTCTGAGTCAGGCTGTGATGGAGGAGTGGTGGAGGTGCTTATGTGTTCGGGCAGCTCCTGTGTTTCCCTCTTGCAGTAGGAGTATCTGTGGTTCATGTGTTGGGAGTAAGAGCCCGAGTGGGAGAAGCGCTTCCCGCATTTGTCACACTGGTAGGGTTTCTCTCCGGAGTGAAGGCGCGTGTGCTCGATCAGGTGGTGCTTGTGTTTGAAGGCTTTATTACAGATGGAGCACTCGTGCGGACGCTTGCCTGTGGATGATAATGGTGCAATATGGTGAGTAGACTGACATACGCTGATATCTAGTTATTCAATATATCGTGATCATGAAAATCCACAATATTCATTCATTTTTTTTTTTACTTCAGTTTAGTTGCTTATTTATCAGGGGTCACCACAACGAAATGAACCGCCAACTACTCTGGCATGTTTTACGCAGTGGATGTACTTCCAGCCACACAAACACTCACATTTACACATACACTTCGGACAATTTTGTTTACCAAATGTTCATTTTCCTTCTGCTTAGCCTCTATTTCAGAGGTTCCCACAGCGGAATGAACTGCCACTTATTCCGGCATATGTTTTAAGCAGCAGGTGCCCATCCAGCCTCAACCCAGTACTGGGAAACACCCATACACTCTCACATTAACACGCACTAATATACTACGGCCAATTTAGTTAATCCAGTTCACCTACAGCGCATGTCTACGGACTGTGGGGGAAACCCATGCCAACATGGGGAGAACATGCAAACTCCACACAGAAATGCCAACTGGTCCAGCTGGGACTCAAACCAGCGACCTTTCTGCTGTGAGATGACAGTGCTGTCCACTGAGCCACCGGCCAGGCGTTAAAAATTAGATTTTTAAATAAAAAGGTTTCATTGAGATGGATTGTTGGTGATTGTACGGGTGTTAATGGCCAGATTGGGTAGCTATATATATGAACAAAGCAAAATTAGAACCTGTTTAAAAAAAGATTTGAGACCTACAACACAATATTCCAGTAAATCTAAGACTTTTTAACGGCTAAAATTTTATTTTTGAGATTGAAGCTGTTATAAAACCCTGCAAACCCCCTGAAAACACTGAGAATGATTATGATTAAACTTTAAATACAGACAAAATGACTGCTTTCTAAGAATATTCACATTACATTTGCAGTAGTCATAAATTGATTACAAATTGAGATAATAACTGATTTATTTGACCATTCTATAACAATCATATTAACACTTAAAAGTAGAAGAAATTGAATGACTTGTGCATATCCACATTCTAATCTTTTATAAAATGAGTCTTATTGACCTTATCCTTCATGTACGAGCGGACGTAGCCATCAGAATCTTTTGGCCTCTCTTTCACTTCAATTGATTTTAGACTATAAAAACAACTAGTTATGCTGCTTGATGGTGCAAACTGACATTGTCTTCTTATATTATTCTACTTCAAACACACTTGTTTGTAGAGCAAATAGTTTGATCATTTTCTGCTGTTTATTATTCCTAGTCATTTCTCCCATAGGCAGCTGAATCGGAAGATCTAAAACAATCGCAAAAACGTGCGCACTTCTGCATTTTAGAATAAAGTTCTTACAAGCAAAGGTCAAACCCTTGGACTTTTATTTTGGATGAAAAAAAGGCATCTCATTACAGAGACATGGTTGCCAATAATAGAATGTTGTGTGTAGAAAATGACCAGCAGGTGGCGATGTTGCATCAGATGTTTTGTGTGTTTCTTTTTAGCTTTTCTAATTGCTAGCAGGTGTTGCTGGCTATTGTAGTGTCTAGATCGGGTGTTACGTGACCAAAACAGCACAAAGGCTTCTACATACTCTCACTTCTACGTCACTGTAATTATATACTACAATAGTCAACATCTGATGTGGATCAAAATATTTTAAAGGTTGTCCTAAGAGAAGAATGGGTGCTGTTTAATAGCTTTAGGACCACTATGATAAAAGGTTTTGATCCACTTGAAAAGTTGAATTATCTACTTTAATCCACTTTAAATGAGTATGTGAATGTGAGAGTGTATGAATGTTTCCCATTACTGGGTTGAGCCTGGAAGGACATCTGCTGTGTAAAACATGCTGGAATAGCTGGTAGATCATTCTGCTGTGGCAACTAGTGGTGTGCGGTTCGATACTAAAATATCGATATCTCCAATATCAGCTTTGTGTGTTCTAGAATCAATTATCTTATCAAAATATCAATATTTCAATCATTTAGAGCAAAATACAGCAGAAGGTAACCACAATTACTCTAGTTTATATGAATAATGCCAACTTAGTCGGAACTACTTGTTCTTCCGCTTGCCAAGTCATGTGCGAAATATGGCATTGTACAACTGCAGAGCACGCTAGCTAGCCACTCAGTCCGCTGGCACATGTTGGTCAGTCACGCTGTCAATAGATATCGGTGACTGCAAGCAAAGTTTTGTGTGGAGCTACTTCACTTCCATAAACTCAAGCGATGTGGTTTGTGACACGTATAACCAGACAGTGAGGTACTGTGGTAATAGCACAAACCTAATCAAACATCTACATATAAATCACAAGACAGAATATGACAACGTGATTAAAAGAGGAGGAAAGTAGAGGTACAGGTGCTGCTGGGGCGAGACAGACATCGCTTACAGAGTCCTTAGGTGCAGTAGGCACTATCCAGGTTCAGGGGGAAAATGTGGCAATGTGGCTGTATTTTGGGGGCTTGGGTTTTTGTGAAAAAAAAAAAAGTTAATTTTCAAGGGGACCGGATTAACATGTCACTAAAGTAAAAGATGTGCATGTTTATTGTTTTTATGTTAAGATGTTCAGGCTCAGATGCTGTGAATAAATATGTAAGTTTGCTCTTTTTTTTGTATGGTAATTCCTCATCAATAAACAAGAATAACCCATAATATGTCTCGTATTCAGTATAAAGTAACACTTTTAAGTACCCTACTTGTTACTTTAATTTCTTAAACGATTTTATTGCAAAGTATTATCGCCGATACTCGCCTTTATTTTACTTTGTATCGGATCGGAAACCAGTGGTATCACACATTACTAGTGGCGACCCCTGATAAATAAGGAACTAAACTGAAAGATAATTAATTAATTAACGTTGACTACTAAAACTCAGAACTAAATTTCTTTACTTTTCCTTTTTTGTGTATTTATTAATAACTGATTATTTTTTAAAATAAGCATGCGCTTTTTCATCGCCACTAGCACTAACAGGTAAGCTATAGCTTTTCGTCTTTCACCTAAACTTATGAACACATTTTTAAGCATCTAAAAGCTGTAAATCACATGTCACATGTCGTTCAGTTGTGTTTACATACCTGTGTGTTCATACTTGTGTCGCAGCAGCGAACTGCTCTTCTGGAAGATTTTGTCACACAGATCGCAGGCGTACATGCCAGTGAAAGTCTTCCTCCTCTTTATGATTTGCATTTCTTCATCGTTCTGCTCTTCTGATGTGCAGTCAGAAGTGACGTCGGCCATCTTCTGCAGGAGAGAAACATGCAGCAAATGAGATGAAATTACCAATGTTTTGTACAGACAAATTGCCGACTTTTCCCAGACTCTGAAAGACCAAAAACCTGACTTTTCATGATTCTGCGATTTGAACAAAGTTATGTTCGCGTTTAACAGTTCAGTTCGAGCTCTAATTAAACACAACTGATCAAACTAATCCTTCAGGCTTGTTTGAAACCTGCAGTTAAAGCTGCGGTGAAACTGAAGTTTGAGCTTGCGAAATTCTGTGGTACAGCGCTGCGAAAAGGTGCAGGATTAAACAAGATTAGACGTGATTAGATAGAAGTCTATGGGGCGAAAAGTACAGTGTGACCGCAGCTTAAGTGTGTTGGAGCAGGGTTGGAACTAAACTGTCCAGGATTGCGGCACTTCAAGAACTGAGTTTGACAACCCTGATTTAGAGCGCAGGTCTCGAACTCTATTCCTGGAGGGCCGCAGCTCTGCACAGTCTGCTCCAACCCTAATCAAACACAGCTGAACCAGCTAATCAAGATGTTCAAGACTACTAGAAACTATTAAGCAGGTGTGGGTTGGAGATGGTTGGAGCTAAACTCTGAGTTTTAAATATGATGTAATAGGATTAATATGATTATATGAGGTGAACAATTTATGTTTTTCTCTCAATGTTCTCTTTATATAAATTATAAAGTCCAGTGACTCTTGAAGTCAAAAAATAATGAAAAACTTAGATGTGTAAAATTTGTGTGTATTTTTTAAACAGCACAAGAAAAGCTGCAAATATTGGCAGGAATTTATCAAATTTGCTACAAAATCTGTCATTTTTGGCTGGCCAAGTGAACCGTGCCTGAGCCCGATTCAGACACAAACACTTCTCAAACGATCCGGGAAGCGGATCTGGGCACGGTTCGGATAGCATAGTGCGAGTAGGCCCTAAAACTGGAGAAAGCGGACTTCTCGCTCATTCCTCCATGCCACCAAAGTTTTTGACAGCTTTATTGTTGTGTTCTCCTTTATACTCTTTGTTTTTGGTTTGTTTGGTTGTTATTTATTACGTTGTTGGGCTCCCCATCGCTTGTCATTTTGGATTGTTTTGCGTATTACACTATGTTAATAAATAACTTAGTTGGAGCACATTGGATGATGTTTATTTATTTTACGTTGTCTTATGATCACGAGTCTTGTTTAACTAGGGACTGTAACATAATTGGGGGATCGTGCGGGATCGTAACAGGCTGTATGTTATTGAAAAAACTCTGACATTGCGATATTTGTATATTGCGATATGAATATTATATCACCAGATGATTTGAATAGCTCTATTTGGAAAGATTTTGTTAATTTAAAAGGACTGGTCAGATCAAGTATTTTTCTATGCAGTGTACCTGCATAAAATATAATAAATTACAAGCATATATAAACTACAGAGCAAAAATAAAGGTTAAATACACATGCTTTAAAGCTTGCAGGGGAGTCAAACCGTATCCAAATGTATTATTGAATATATTTTCACTACAATACTATAAAAATAAAATCTTTATCTTTTAATCGTTAATAAATAAACTATTGCGGATAAACACATTGCGATATCCATGCTCAAACGATATATTGACAATTCAGCCCTAGTGGGATCTCTGAGACTCTCTAATATCGGTGTGTGTTGAGCTTACCGGACTGTTGTTGAGTATCACCATGGACTTTTTCTCAGTCAAGGCATTGTTGGGTGCCTCGGTACTGTTGTAGGTGTAGGTGAGCTGCGGTATGAGTATTGTGCGCTTGTTTCCGGATATTGCAGAGCTGATGCATGGAACGCCGCCTGGCTCTGCTATGGCCACCAGCGTTGGCAATGAGGCGGACATAATGTTTAATGGCCCCGTACTGCCCTGTGCCACATAGATGGTGTTGCCTGCCAGAGTTTGCTTATTGAGGCTGCTCAGGTTGAGTGGCTCCTTTTGGGACGATACAGGTAGCTTAGTGATGGTTCCGGGTAGAGTGGAGCTGGATTTGGGAAGCGAGAGGTCCAGCGGTTCACACTGCAGCTCCTCTTCCACTTCTTCTGTCTTCACAATGACCAGATCATCAGTGGAGACACTGGCTGGTGGAGACGCGGGGGAGGCAGTGCTTCTGTTCTGCTCCTCCTCTGAGGGGCTGGAGTCAGGGGGAGGAGTGGGACTGGGAGTGCGGGTGTCTTGAGTTGAGGTTGGTTCTTGAGACTCAGGAGATGGTGGTGTTTTCTTGGTTACATAACAAAGAGAAAGATCATTCAAGTTTAGAAAAAGACTTGTTCATTTTCAAAGCAATAACGTTAACTTGAACACAAAAAATGTCATGCTTAACAAGAGTATTGCATGCATTTAAGTCCCTGATTGTGTGTGTTTTTTTTAATGTTTTGTCTAATATTCGTGGTTAAGCTTTACCATTAACATTTTTTGCATCCAAATTTTTGCTGAGGGGAACATAATGTCAGAAATCTCTGCTGTGTTGAGATTTAGGGAATATTGCAATTGCACTTTACCTCATCCAAGCATAATACTTGAATCAAGCTGATGGGATTAAGCTCAAGGCTTGTTTATACTGCATCGAGTGATCGCTATGGCCCATAGACACTGCCTTGCAGGTAATCGTGCATTTATACTTTTGCATGCTGCTTGTGTTGCTCTGCAATGGCACTTTCCACAATGCTAGCTGGCTGCTAGGGTTTAATGTTCCTCTGTGTCGAGTTTCTGCATGGGTGTTTTGTTTTCTAAACACTACCTTAATGTATAAGTAGCTCAAACTCGCTCATTCAGAGGCGGGAACTGGCGGACATGCAACTTTAATCATCAGGTAAACGCACCTTATGCGATGCTAACTTGTTGTTTTGTGTTTCTCTTGCCACCTTTACCATTAGTTTATTATATTAGTCATCTTAATGTAACTACTTTTAATTTCCTAGACAGATTTCTATCAAGGGTCGTAACATGTAATGGGGGTTCGTCCGGGATATTTAACTAAAGCCCTGCTCACACTAAGATTTCAGCCACGATTCTGTCACCTCAGACAAATTTGGGAAATCCTAAAAGATTCATGAAATCCTAAGCTAAAATCTGCAATCTTTGATCGTTGGTTTGACAACTTCACTGACAAACGCTTAGTGCCCGTTGCGATCAGATTTTTTTCACCAATGAATCTCTGGTCGTGTCAGAGGATTTCAGGCACATTCCTGCAGTGTGACAACAGCTGCGATGACCATCAATCCAAAAATCAATAGAAGCTTCAAATTTGATGATGGGATTCATGCAACAACTCAAACGACCGTGGGGAAATGTCAAAACAGATTTTTTTCTTCGTTTGCAATAAGGAATCATTTCAAAATGTGGGAACAATTTCTTTCGTGTTTGGCGTGTCTTCATTGTTGTTCAGTCTGACTTTACGACAGCTGAGATCTTACAGGGTGACATGAGAGCCATGTTCATTCAGTCTGACATGCTACAATCATTCAGGATTTTATATATATATATATATATATATATATATATATATGTGTATATATATATATATGTGTATATATGTATAAAAATTAATAATAAAAATCGCAGTGTGAGTCGGCCTTAAGAAATTTAACTAGGACATTTTAATAAGATCAATTAAAATAAAAATAAGAAAATATTATACCAATTATACCAATTCTTGGGAGCAGTGTTGGGGAAAGTTACTTTTGAAAATAATGCATTACAATATTGAGTTGCGCTGCAAAAAAGTAACTAGTTGCGTTACCTAGTAACTTTTTTATGGTAAGTAATGCATTACGTTACTTTTGAGTTACTTTTTGAGAGGCTTGATCTCTTTCAGAACTAGTTTTTTCATTGTTTCTTCTTTAATAGAGGAGCTCTGCAATTAACAACGCACTGTATAACCTACACCTACATTTACCTTTAAAAATATTTTTTTAAATAATGTTATTTGAGAACTTCCTGACCCCAGACCTCTACATGCCATATATACAGATTATTGAACGCTTAAAGCAATGTGCTTGCTACTTTTGTGCTATTTGTCTTAAGTAAAATCACTGTCATTGAGACTACTACTTTGTGTTCACAATGACAATCACATTCTCTCATTAACTGCGCGATTCATTGTGACTAATTTCATTTTAATTCAGCAATTTTTTTTTTTTTTAAAGCTCATTAATTAAACTAAAAAGTAACTCGTATATTTTCAGAAAAATAACTCAAATATTCATTCATTCATTAATTTTTGGCTTGGTTCCTTTATTAATCTGGGGTCGCCATAGTGGAATGAACCGCCAACTTATCCAGCACGTTTTTATGCAGCAGATGCCCCATCCAGCCACAACCCATCACTGAGAAATAACTTAAATATAATTACTTATTTTTCTCAAAGTAATGCGTTACTTAGGAAAGTGATATTATAATGTAACTTGCAATACTTGTAATGCATTACCCCCAACCAGAGATGGCAAAAGTACACACATCTTTTACTCAAGAAAGTAAAATTACTGACTACACTTTGTACTCAAGTAAAAGTAAAAAAGTACGCCCTGAAATCTGTACTTAAGTGAAAAGTAGTCATTACTACATTTCAGGTTCACTTAATAATACCTAGTTTTCGTTTGACTACACTGCACATCTTGTATCTATACAAAATAACTTTCTGCTGGTCAGCTCTTTAAATGGTGTAAGGCAGTGGTTCTCAAACTGTGGTACGTGTATCACTAGTGGTACGCGGGCTTCCTTCTAGGGGTACGTGGAGGAATGAAATATGTCATGTACATGCTGCATACATTTCAAAATTTATCAAAAATGATGTTTTTAATATGCCATATATGACATATAACCTATATTTCTGAGGTAATCTGCCACGTTTTTTTTAACTGTGCAGAGTTGTAGCTGCTTTACTGGGCCTACTACACTACTGTATTTCAATTTTTTTCAAATTTTCTTCCTGAGGAGGTACTTGATGAAAAAAAGTTTGAGAACCACTAGTGTAAGGTATATCACGCTGTTGTGTCTAATAATAATATTTTTAACATTAAAAACATAAAAATCATATAAATATACATTTGACCTTCCCTATAACTATTCATACTATTACGAATGCATGATCACACCCAGCGTATTAGACTTGTATGTATTTTAATAGACGCCTGTGTTCGCAAATGGAAGTTAACAGCTTGATAGCACATAATAATAAGCATCCATCCATTTTTTGGTACAAGTACAGAAATGTCCCACTGTTTGGGAAAGTGCTTGAAACTGATTGCAAATGTAATTATTTTGCTTTCATAATAATGCATCTTTCCAAATATTTACCTATTTAAGTTAAATGTAATATTGCTTTTGCATAAAATGTAAAGTCTAATGGAGTCCACACATGTGCCTATTGCATAATCTGCGCAGGTAGCAGCATTATCCCACCTCACTCGTTTTAATGCAGTGGGGGAAAAAATGTGTAGATGTTGTTGCTTGACAATCGTGGCTTGAAGATAAAAGCTATAAACCTTTGAGAAAAAATATATTGATTGAATCAAAAAGGCGTTCAAATTGTGCAATGAGAAGAATTAATATAGATCGCGCCACAAAACACATTAAAACGCAAGTAACAAGCCCGATTTACAAAATGTAAGGAGTAGAAAGTACAGATATTTGTGTAAAAATGTGAGTAAAAGTAAAAAGTTGTCAGAAAAATAAACAATTAAGTACTGATACCAGAAAAATCCACTTAAGTACGATAATCAAGTATTTGTACTTTGTTACTTCCCATCTCTGCCCCAACACTGCTTGGGGTGTTCCTAATCCTTACACTTATATATTTTCTTGTCAGATAAACCTAATGATTGTATCAGCCGTATTTCACAGATTGTACCAACCTTGTTTTTCGAGTTGCCAGTAGCCTGCAGCAGTATCCTTTTGGAGCGCATCTTCTCGTACCACTTGGTGACCGCCGCCAGGGGGAGTTTGACTGTCTTGGCGACCTGAGCCAGCTGCTCCTCTGTGGGCTCCGGGTTCTGACTGTAGGCCTTCAGAAGAGGAAGGAGTCGTTCTGCTGCGCCACTCTTATCCTTATCCAGGAGAGAGTTGAGTGAGATGGTGGTAGGCGACGCTTTGGCATTACTCTCTTTACTCTCTAGCATTTTACGTTTACCCGGACAGCTGTCGCAAAGCAGACAGTACGCATAGTTATGAAAGTTATCTCCACACGAGACGCCGGCGTGAACTGTTCCAGAGCACGAGACTTTATCCGTTTTTGATGCCGTTTCTGTTTCTTCCTCTTCATTTTCATCTGCCTGCATCTCCCCCTCTCCTTCACTCTGTATTTCTGGTTCAATTTTGGATGGGGATTCTGGTTCGGTTTTGATTTGGATTCCTATGGGGGCAGTCAAGTTTTGCTCTTCACAATTTTCAGTATTGTCAGTCTCCTTCGTCTCCTCAGTTGCTGTGTCTGTAGTCTTTTCCGGGGTTGACTTTAACTCTGTGGCCTGCGTGTTGGAATTGGTGACTGGCATCTGGCGGACCACGAGGCTCTGTGACCCGTCTGCCCTCCTCACCAGCAGTAACGTTTGATGGGTGAGCTTTGGTTGTGCCGCCCGAGCTTGCGCCAACCTGGCGGCCTGGGCAGGGGTTATCTTGATTATAGACGGCGTTTTGCTGAGGTTTCCCATTTGGACTGGTTTGATGATGTTTACCTGTGTGGGTTTAGCAGTTCCTGATGCTTGGTTTTCAGACGAGCTGGACTGAAGCGAATGAACCTGCAACACTTTCGGCTGTGGGACATTAGACGTTGTGGAATTCGTCTGCGTCACGTTAGTTTGCCCCACAGCGGGCTGCGTTGTGTTTACTTTTACAGCCTTGAGTTGTCGGTCTAACTGTGGATTGTAGTTGATGATTATTTTGGGGTTTCCGTCTTGTCCCACAACTGGCAAAGAGATAGCGGAGATCACCTGCGGCTGCGTCTGTGACTGCGTCTGCTGTGGTTGCAACACAACAGCTTGAGTCTGCGCTGGAACTTGTCCTACGATTTTAGCACTTGTTCCGTTAGCATTGGTGCTAGTGACCATTTGCCTCATGACATTGCTATCCATTGCCACATTCAGCGCGTTCTGTAAGTCACTAAGGTTGATGCTGATTGGCTGGACCAGCCCGACTGTAGGCAGGACTAATGTTTGGAGGACGCTCTGCGGAGCCACGACTCCATTGGTTGTGGTGGCAGCCATGGCAGGAGTGGCTGAGGCAGGTTTGGGTTGGTGTTCGACTGGCTCCTGTTTGATCTGTTTGAGGGTGAGCTGCTTTTGCGGAGGCTTGTTGGTAATGTTCACCACCTTCTCTCTCAGAAGGATGTGAGTTGGGCGGGGAATAGTTATAGTCGTTTTCACTCCAGGTGTACGAGTGACGCCGATTATGCTTGAACACTTCTTACTGCTGATGTGAGAACTGTAGGATCCCGAGTGAGAGAATCGTTTTCGACAATTGGGGCACTCATATGGCTTCTCACCTGGATAAACACAAAGATGAAGTCGTCGTTAAAAGACAGTAGTGTAAAAAAAAATATATTGTCAGAAAAAAGAAGACTTTAAGTAAGCTGGGATAAATTATATTGATTAACAGTGGCTAATAAAGAGTGTAATAACCAGAGTTTGGTGTAACAAGTATCACAGTAACACATTCCTCTATTCTAATGCAGTAATGTAACGAATTACATTTTAAATTTGTGCAATTTGATTACAGTTACTAAAGTCAATTTAATTGCGTTACTTGCAATAAAGTTTTAAGAAGAAAAAATACTTCTTTTAAATCCCCCTTTTCAGCTGCAACTTCAGTTAATGAGCAAGCACTTGAGTAGAAAGCATTCTATGATGATACTTGTCACCTAGGAGGACACCGGCGCCCAAAAACACCCAACTTAGCCTAAACAGGCTGCAGGATCAGGAGTGAAGGTATCTTCTGAATGTGAAGAGAAGCGTAGCTGCTAGGGGCAGTTCATATATCTCATCTTTTGCATGCGCACATGGAGCACACACATTTCCCAGGCGCACCAGTTGAAAACTGCGAGTCACGTGACAGGAACTGACAGGTCAGCTTCATGCTTTGTATGGAATATACACAGTTGGGTTGACTAATTACCTCAACAAACACAGAACACCCAAACACTGCAGTGCTTTTTCATAATATAGATGTCAATAGTTACAGGTATCCAGTTTTCTTTCAAATGTCTTCTTTTGTGTTAAAAATAAATAAATAAAAAAACAGGTTTGGAACAAGTGAATGATGAGAGAATTTTAAGTTTTGGAATTATCTCTAAGTCTTTTTAATATCTCAAGCTGCTGTGATTAACCCATTGTAATGTTTTTAGTGAATATTACATTTCTGAAAAAGCTAGTTTATTATTGCATTTTTATAGGTATATTTTATGTTTTAAAAGTAACTTCAAAGTAAAGTAATAAGTAATCTGATTACTTTTTACATAAAATAATTAGTCATGTAATCAGACTACAAATTTCCAGTAATGATCACTAATTTGATGTTTGTTTGTATACTTTATTGTCCCTCAAGGGGAAATTTTTGTAGACTCACCCAGCACTTCAGCAGGTTCTGACACAATAACTATTTAAAAGAATAAGTCAACATGCAAAAGAATTACACACACTAATGTTCAGTTTTCAATAGTCTGATTGACACTGGAATAAAAGAGTTCTTAAATCTGTTCCGTTTCCAGCGGAAAGTTCGGTATCTTCTTCCAGAAGGTAAAAGTTTGTAAGATGGGAAAAGTACATGAGATGGGTCACTTAAAATTATTTTAGCTTCATTCAGAGTGCATTGCTCGTAGAGTGTTTGTGTACTAGTAAAAGTGTCGGATCCTATTAGTCTTGTAGCAGTTCTGATAATATTAAAAATGTTTGATTTCAGATTTACAGATATCGATTACTTTTTAAAAGTAACTTGCCCAACATTAACTAAATTTATTACACAGTAAAATAAATTCAGTGTAAATGCAAGTTTCCAGGTGTTTTCTGTATTTTTGATCAAATAAATTAGGAATTGATGAGTATAAGAGCCAGAAATGTTGCAAAAATGCAGAACTAAAATGTTAAAGGGCTGCAGCAAACTATTTTTTTGATTAATCTAACATTTAGAATAAAATAATAATCATTTATTCAACGAGTCAAGGGAATATATGCATAAAAGCATAGAAATCTGCATTATCTAAGTGCAGTATTCACGCGTGCAGACCTTTATCACACTATTACCATCGTGTAGAGCTCAACGCTGCGTTTTGCGACAGCAAACACAAACACACGGCAGTGCTCACAGGTAAACAGTTTGATGGCAAACAAAAGAGCATGGCTTTATTTGCGAGACAATTAATACGCGTTATTGTCTACGTGCACCTTATAGCATGCACGTAAAAGATGAAAAATAATAAACTGCACTTAAAGCTTTTGTAAAGTTTCTCTACAAAAACGGTCTCAACAGTAGTACCATAACCTCGACGAGCTGTGTGCTGACACGTGACTTTCCACAAGAAGCGTCGGGAGGCGTATAACTTGATCAAATAATGATTAAAAGTCACTTTAATCAAAACAGCCCTGACTGATAAGTCTGACTTTGCTTTATTACATGCAAAATAAATGATTACATTACTGTAATTATATCATTGCTAGTTCCTATTATTATTGCGTTGCCTAATGAAGGGTCACTCACTGCTCGAGCAGAACTCGCTTCTCTCACCTGGATGTTTTGGGGTGTTTCCTCTCAACTCTCCAACATGCACGATGCGCTCCAGTGAAAGGCTATGTCCGCCTCGCAAGTATTGCACATAAGAGCATTTTAGGTTTCTTAACTTTGTGAAAAGTTTCCACGCGTTGTTAGTTTGGATTCGTTTGCACTCGTTGGTCATTCGCGCTGTTTTCTCTACCTGAATTGCATTCCTGAGGGTTGAATTTCACTATAGCGCCAGCAGCGGTCAAATCGCGCTATTGCAGGCTCTAACATTAGAACTACTGGACAACATGGTATGAAATAGAGACTGAAATAATAAATAAATAACTGTAACTGTATATAACCTTGGGGAAAATGCTAGAAATTGTTCCAACTATTGACATATTTAATACAAACACATTTAAATGCACTGAAAATCCTTCCATGTTGATCCTCCAACAAGAGCTCAATTGTAAAGGAAATGCAGAAGATGGAGAGACTGATGTGTAACCCAAGACTGGATTCAAAAAAGTGCAGCAAGAATTGGGGAAATGGACTGAGTGTGTCATTTATATCATCAATAATAGGTCAGTAATCTTTAATAATATTGGTAACACTTTAGTTTAGGTCACAATTCATGCTATTAACTACTGACTTACTATCTGACTACTATAACATATTAACTGTTCATTAGTAGATAATAATTTGGATCTTTTTCTGCATCCCTAATCCTACCCATAACCTAAATCCAACATCTACCTTAATTACTATTAATAAACAGCTAATTAGTAGTTTATTAAGCAAGTAGTGTTGGCTTGTTGTACTGTGAATTGTGACTAAAGTGTTACCATAATATGTCATAATGTGCTTCATATGTATAGTGACTTGTTTTTGTAACCCCATATGACAACCGCTTTGCACACTCCTCCCCTTTTTTCATCTTGTTTTTTTCTAAAATAAAAAAACTATTAAACTACTGTGAAAAGTATTAAACTGCTACTTAGTATAAAACTAAACAACTGGACAACAAATAATATTCATTATCATTTAATGTCAGTTTTTAGTTCAGCCCTCAAATATCATTTGGTGTCTAAAAAGCAGGTTAAAGAGTTTTTCTTTTTACTGTTCATGCTTGAATACAAATAAAAAGTCCTTCTGATAATATAAAATATGATCAAATTCTAGATAGACCGGTTTAGAAATTTCCCACAGTGAATTTATTATGAGAAGTTATTATGGAAGCCTGTTTCTACCTCAGAGTGAAAAAAAAGTTGTATTATCGCACAGTGGCAATTTTCTCTCACAATGTAACTTTGTATTTCATTCATTCATTTATGAATTTTCCTTTGGTTTAGTTTCTTTATTCATCAGGGGTCACCACAGTGGAATGAACCACCAACTTATCCAGCATATGGCTTTGTGATTTGGGGAAAACGTCTAATTAAAATCTTTTTTTAACAGATTTAGCAATTTTAGTTGCTGGTGGTTTTATTTCCTCATGCTGCCAACGATTCTGCGACAGCTCTTTCAAATGACCGGTTTTTGTTCTGTGTCTGTGACTTTGAAACCACAATATTTCCATATTACTGACATGCTGTTTTCCTTTGATATTAGTCCGGTGTCTATTAATGTTTCTGAAGTGGCATCATCCCACTCGTCCGCGCTTTTGTTTGTTTTTATTTTATTGTGGGCGTTCCACATAGTTCGTTCGCACAATTCTGATTGGGCAGAACGAAAGTGTGCTCACTCAATTGGCTTGTAAGACTGTCACACACAGACGGCAGTCACACATTTGCTCTGGGTGGAGGAATTAAATAATACATATATAATTTATATTGCAGCCTCTTGCCATTAGCTAATCGTGATGTTTCAAATTCCAATTGCGATTTAATTGCGATTAATTGCAAAGCTCTGTCGGATGCCCTTCCAGCTGCAACCCAGCACTGGGAAACATTCATACACACTTATACACTTCGGCCAAGTTAGTTTACCCAATTCACCTGTATCGCATGTCTTTGAACTGTGGAGGAAAACCAGAGCACCCGGAGGAAACTCACGAGAACACAGGGAGAACATGCAAACTCCACATAGAAATGCCAACTGACCCAGCAGGGACTTGAGGCAGCGACCTTCTTGCTGTGGGGCGATTGTGATAACCACTGAGCCACTGGTATTTCATAGTTAAATGTTTTTAATCTTTATGTTCTCATTCAATTCATTCATGTTCCCTGGGCTTAGTCCCTTATTCATCAGGGGTCGCCACAGCGGAATGAACCGCCAGCTTTTCCGGCATATGTTTTACTCAGCGGATGCCATTCCAGCATCTTCATGTTCTCATAATGTGAAAATATTCTCCACCACAGCTAACACATTTGCCATCATTTCTCAACATTTGTAGCAGTTGCCTTCAAACGTTTAAACACGGCTTGTGCAACAGTACAAAGCTTATGAATGTTATTAAGTTATTGTTAATTAGGGATTTTTGATTTGTTAACCAATTATTTCATACAAGTTATCTCATGTATAGGTGACATGGTGGCTCAGTGGTTAGCACAGCAATAAGGTTGCTGGTTCGAGTCCTGACCGGGCCAGTTGGCATTTCTGTGTGGAGTTTGCATGTTCTCCCCATGTTGGTGTGGGTTTCCTCCGGGTGCTCCAGTTTCCCCCACAGACCAAAGACATGCAGTATAGGTGAATTGGGTAAGCTATTTGGCCGAAGTGAATAAGTGTGTATGGATGTTTCTCAGTATTGGATTGCAGCGGAAAGGGCATCTACTGTGTAAATCATATGCTGGATAATTTTGCAGTTCATTCTGCTGTGACGACCCCTGATAAATAAAGGCACTAAACTGAAAAGAATATGAATGAATGATTTGTGATATGTTAACCAAATATTCATGCTAATAATTTCCTCTATAAACAACATGGCTCTGGAACAGGCTTTCATGACCCAGGATTAAAAGGATAGTTCACCCAAAAATATACACTACCTCATAATTTACGCTCTCTCAAGTGGTTTTAAACTTGTATGAGTTTCTTTTTTTCTGTTGAGCACAAAAGAAGATATTTAAAAAAATGCTGGTTGACGGTACCCATTGACTTCCATATAAGGAAAAAAAAATACAATGAAAGTCAATGTCTGTGTCTTATTTCAGAGGCTGCATCTGAAGGGCACTTCATCATCGTGGCATGATGAAGGCTGCCTCATTTCAACATGATTCTGAAGCTCCTTCAAATGCAGCCTCAAAACGCGTCCTTGTTTCCCAGGTAATGAAGGACACAACCGGTGGATGCTTCCTAACCTCGAATATCCCAAGGTTCATTGCATGCTGATAACAGCTGGAACTCTGGGTTAAATGTATTAGGTTTATTTTACTTGGATATCTAAACACATGTAAACAAACAGAGTATGAAATGTCTTAATACAAAGTGATTTTATAGACAGTTTACATTTTTATGTGAACATGTATGGAATAAAAGAATTATACACTCACCGGTCACTTTATTAGGTACACCTTACTAGTACCGAATTGGACCCACTTTTGCCTTCAGAACTGCCTTAATCCTTCATGACATAAATTCAATAGGGTACTTGAAATATTCCTCAGAGATTTTGCTCCATATTGGCATGAAAGCATCACGCAGTTGCCGCAGATTTGTCAGCTGGACATCCATGATGCCAATCTCCCGTTCCATCACATCTCAAAGTTGCTCTATTGTATTGAGATCTAGAGACTGTGGAGGCCATGTGAGTACTCATTGTCATGTTAAAAAAACCAGTCTGAGATGATTCGCGCTTTATATTTTGGTGAATTGTAGCCTCAGTTTCCTGTTCTTAGCTGACAGTAGTGGTACCTGGTGTGGTCTTCTGCTGCTGTAGCCCGTCCGCCTCAAGGTTGGATGTGTTTCAGCATTTAGAGATGCTCTTCTGCATACTTTGGTGGTAACGAGTGGTTATTTTAGTTACTGTTGCCTATTGTCTATCAGGTTGAACCATTCTCCTCTGACCTCTGACATCAACAAGGCATTTGCACCCACAGAACTGTCACTCACTGGATGTTTTCTCTTTTTCGGACCATTCTCTGTTAACCCTAGAAATGGTTGTGCGTGAAAATCCCAGTAGCTCATCAATTTCTGAAACAATTGAGCCTGTCTGGCACCAACAACCATGCCATGTTCAAAATCACTTAAATGACCTTTCTGATGCTCGGTTTGAACTGCAGCAGATCGTCTTGAACATGTCTACATGCGTAAATGTAGAGTTGCTGCCAAGTGATTGGCTGATTAGAAATTTGTGTTAACAACCAGTTGGAAAGGTGTACCTAATAAACTGACAGGTGAGTGTTCTCCAGGTTCTGTAAACCAGGAATGTCCAAACTCGGTACTGGATGGCCGGTGTTCTGCATAATTTAGCTCCAACTTCCTTCAACACACCTGCCTGGAAGTTTGTAGCATAACTAGAAAGAGCTTGATTAGCTGGTTCAGGTGTTTAATTGCAGTTGATACTAAAATATGCAGGACACTGGCCCTCCAGGACCGATTTTGGACACCCCTGCTGTAAACCTTGCTTTGCCTTCAGATTGCTTAAAATAAGTTTTAAAATCTCATTGAAAAAATAAAAGTAATTACAAATTTTATAACTGCTTATTAACAGCAACTGTTACGCTTGCTAGGTGATGCGATCTGTCCTCTGTAGGCTAGATTGTCTGATTTCAAAACTCTCGGTTTGGCCTGTGTGGACTTTGAAGGACTCACCTTTGGAGTTTGACATGAGAGGCAGCTAATGGGTCTCATCAACCAGCATTTTTTAAAATATCATCTTTGATTTTAACAAAAGAAAGAATCTCAAATAGATTTAGAACAAATGAAAGATTATTAAATGATAGCTTTTTTTGGGTGAACTATTCTTTTTATTAGTATCCACATGCAGTTAGCAAATGCTTTCTGTATGCGGCTGTGCTTTGTCAACTGACCGCTGTGGATGCGCAGGTGCTCCTTCAGGTGATGCTTGTATTTGAAGGCCTTGGAGCATTCTGTGCACTTAAACTTCCTGCTTCCCGACTGCGTAACAGTCCGCTGCGAAAACCAAGAGACAGGAAGAAGCAAATGTTTTCAAAGTGTTTCTTCAAAGCAGTGTGAGTCAACATTTGACAGTGTGTCATTTCCTCCACAGAGGTGTGAACTCCTGAGGGTGTGAGCTGAGCTGTACCTTCTCTCGGAGCTGTCTGTGTGCTGTCATGTGACGGACGAGCTGCGTGCGGTAGGTGAAGGTGTAGCTGCAGAGGGAGCAGCAGTAGTTGTCGTCGTTCTTCTCATGGCGTAGTTTGATGTGCTCCTTCAGAGACGTGTGCCGCTTGTAGCCGCGAGAGCAGTGCGGACAGTTGTGCAGGTGTGAAAACGCATCAGGGGTGCCTGATGGAGAGATTCAGCATTTTAGAAGAAAAAGTGTATAGAAATAGCAGATGACAATGAGGGAAAGACAGTGGACAGGGTATCTGCAGGTTTCTAGGAGTTATGTTTAATATCACACAGAATGAAATTTAAGAGCAATTTTCTAGTGCAGAATTTGCAAAAAAAAAAAAAAAAAGCATGCAACACAACTAATGATCATCCTTAACCTTAACCAGGCCCGTAGCCAGGGAGGGTTTGCATGGTTTGAAAGACCCACCCCCCACTATTTTTGACAGTATGCCATCATAAACTGTGGGGGAAAAAACAATAGAAGACGGCTTTAAGACTAATTTAATTTTTAATTTTTCAAATGGACAAACTCTGACAATGAAATAAGCTGGCCAGATTCAATTAGTTTGACATGGGGTCCAGTTTAGGAAAAGCATCCTAAATAAAGGTCCGGAGAGATATGACTTGCTATATAAATGATGACAACAGCAATATAAGAGCCCATATGCTATATTTTTGCTCCTTAAGACACACACCTTGGCTTTTTTTTATGATTGTAGTCTAAAGAACAATCACAGTTTCGAGGATATCACAATTATTAAGTGAAGTTTATTCATAAACTAATTTCGAGAGGATCACGTGCTTATGATTTATCAAGTCCAGTCTCGTATTTGCTAATCACTAATCTTCCAATCATACGAGCCCTAAGGCACCATAAATAGTCTAAGTTTTCAGTTCACTTTATCTTCGTTTGGAAGAAAACCCCCCTCCTCCCCTATTCTCCTCCTTTACCTGCAATTGGGCGGCACGGCGGTCCAGTGGTTAGCACTGTGAACCACACAGCAAGAATACTGCCGGTCCTAGTTCAATAGGACCGGTGAGTGTTTCTGTGGGGAGTTTGTATGTCCTTCCCGTGTCCGCGTGGGTTTTCCCCGGGCTCTCCGGTTTCCTCCCACCATCCAAAGACATTCAACATACTTAACAATCAAGCTTGTCTAATTCCTTACGTTCCCTTAGCTACAGCGGCAGGGGAGTTCTGAGATCCACCGAGCTCAGGCTCCCTTCTTGCTCTGCCAACGGGAGGAAGCCCCGGGCTCGAGGAGCCCTTGAGCTCGGGGCTCTCTCCCGGGACAGCATGCCAAATAAGCTTTGTAAATCATCAGCTAAGTGTGAACTCTTGAAGCATTATTAAATTCAAAACACTACTAGTTTAGAAAGTCACAATAAAACTGCTTATATTTTAAAGTGTTGTTTATTGCTGCTCAGTAACCAAACACAGCACAAAATATTCATAAAAGACTAAAAATAAATGAAAAAGTTTTGAAACAGTAACAATGATCATTTTATATCAGTTTCCCCAAATTGTATCAACAAAACAAACAAAACAACTTTCCAATGTCAATAACTTTTGCCTGTTATTAAATGAAATATAGCAATATTTAATGTGTACAGCTTTTTTATTATTGTTTTATGGATACTTATTTTCTGATTTTGTTTGATCTTGTTCTGATAAGGCATTTGCTGACAACTTTGACATGACTGATGCTTTCTCTCTTTAAACAATTTCGACTAATGCCTAGCAGAATTAGTTTTTTAATCAGCAAACATTTTTAAAAAAGCTTAAAGAAACATTTAAAGTTCCCATGAAGTGCTTTAAAATGTGTGTTTTTTTATTCGATGTTAGATGTAATAAGAGGGTGGGACATACAGTAGCTCCAATAGCACAATATCACAGCTCTGCCAGTGAGCGGTTGAGCTCAAATGAAAAGCAAATGAGAAGCGTCTTGAAGGCGCGGGGCATGACAGATACTAGAGAGGATTTGATTGGTCAAGATTTGATGAGAAACTGAAGTATGGGGTGACGTGAAAAAAAATCTTTGATCCATTTAGGTGGAAGAGACTAACTAAAAGCTTTACAGTACATGTTTATATCAGTTTTACATCTTCAAAACACAAATATTGTACCACACTAGCTTATAGATATCATTGAAGACTAACATACAGATACTGACATCTAAAAAACTTTATTTTAATTTGACTGGACCTTTAAAGTGGCTTAAATTACAAAAACACACACTTCTTTAGGTGTTAAGATTGGATTCTTAAGACTTCTGAAATGCGGAGACATTTTAACACTTATTAAGGCCTTATTTTAAACTATGAGATTGCGTTTTGTTTTAGTACCGTTCTCATCGTGGACTCCTCGCTCCGGCGTTCTCTGATGCTCCTCTGCTGCATCTGGGTAAACAGGCTCGGTTTTGGTCTGCTTTTCCTCACTGGTTGCTTCATCTTGAGCACCATCTTCCTCATCACTGACGCACTCCTCTTTCAAACACACACAGGCAGATTAGATCGACTGAAATGCACACAAACACTGTCTTGTTAGCTTTTGCATCAATTTTTGCATGCTGCTTTGCCAATTTCTTTTTAACGGAAAGAAGATTTTTTTTAACACATTTCTAAACAATAGTTTTTATAACTAAAAAATTAAAAACTGCTTTTATTCTAGCTGAAATAAAACAAATAAGACTTTCTCTAGAAGAAAAAGTATTATAGGAAATACTGTGGAAAATACGAGGAGGGCTAATAATATTGCCTTAAACTGTATGTGCATACAAACAACAGATTTTTTTAGGCTAGAGGATCATTTTGTGGTTTATGATCTGGACAAATAAAATGCATACTCTATGGGTGGGGTAGAGCGAAATCGATGGTAACATTTAAGCTATACAAGGATTTTAAAAAGGTAAACGATTATTTTGGGTCTTCAGTGCAATCCTTAATGGCACGATGTGTAATTTTTTCCACCAGAGGGTGCTTATTCACAACAAACAAAGGTGACTTCATGACACAGTGGCTGGTTCTCAATTCCTAGAACGCATAGAACAGACTTGCATTCTTGTGAAGACTGGTCTTGTCAGTTTACCTCGGGAGACCGCGAGAACAGAGAATGTGTCCTGTAAGAAATTAGATGCTAATAATAATAATAATAATAATTCCTTACATTTATATAGCGCTTTTCTGGGCACTCAAGGCGCTTTACACATAGGGGGAATCTCCTCATCCACCACCAGTGTGCAGCATCCAGCTGGATGACGCGACGGCAGCCATTTTGCGCCAGACCGCACACCACACATTAGCTGATTGGTGAAGAGGAGACGGAGTGATGAAGTCAATGATCATATGGGGATGGTTAGGAGGCCATGATGGACAGAGGCCAGTGGTAGGATATGGCCAGGATGCCAGGATGCTCTTTTCGAAGGACATCCTGGGATTTTTAATGACCACAGAGAGTCGGGACCTCGGTTTAACGTCTCATCCGAAAGACGGCGCTCACTAAGCAAAATAGAGTCCCTGTCACTATACTCGGGCGTTTTTTATTTTTCACATTGTCATTATGGGGTATTGTGTGTAGAATTTTGAGGAAATAAATTAATTTAATCCATTTTGGAATAAAGCTGTAACATAAAAAAAGTGAAAATGAAGCGCTGTGAATACTTCCCGGATGCACTGTATATCTATTGGTTTTGATTTTGATATTATACATTGTGCCTTCAAATATATTCTTTAAATATCTCATCAAATGATTCTTGTTCTAAATACGTCTGGCAAGATGTTTGGTCTATAAATTGTTTTCTGTAAATAGTGGTATAAAATGTGTCATTTTTTTTATATGTATACAAGTGTGTCGAAAGGACATCACCCCATTTTACTTTGAAAAGTGCAGTGCTCAAGATGACATTAAACATTAGCCTTTAAATATTTGCATTAAGCTTTACCATAATGTTAATTAAGACCCCTTGAAATGATAATTAAGACTTTCCTTAGCCTTTTAAGCTTTTTTTTAATAGTCTTAAATTTGATACAGCTATTTTTAAGGTCCCGCAGGACTGACTGCAGCCTAGTTTAGTGAAATACATACAGAGTTTAAATAAAATGGAATAACACACACACACACACACACACACATTACATTTGTGGGTTGGATGGTAACGTAGCAATTTGGTAATACTACAGTGTATTTATATTTGACTGGGAAAAAGGCCAGTAGGGCCCACGCCCTGTGCTATGGAGGCCCGTAAGGACCAGGTGACACATTACAAATGATTAGACCAGGGGTCAGCAACCCGCGGCTCTTGAGCCGCATGCGGCTCTTTAGCGCTGCCCTTGTGGCTCCCTGAAGTTTTTTCAAAAATGTTCAAAAAGATGGGGAAGGTTAGTATATATTTTTGTTTTAATATGATTTCTATAGGAGGACAAACATTTTTAACGTTTTCAAATGCTGTAAAAGTATCTAGAATTAATATTTAATTTCAACATTTCTGTCAACGAAGATTTGCCTCATAGCCTGCGACACAGGTTTCTATCAGCAGGGCGGGATGCCGGGCAGGTGGCTGTTGTAAACAAACCGGGAGATAATAAAGCATGGAAAACCGTTCACAGATGGTGACTACATGAAGGAGTCATTCATCAACATATTAGAACACCTACAGTAATTGCAGACTTCAACAACAAAACCAAGATAATACAAAAAATTAAAGATATACCTCTCTCCGCTAAGACAGTGAAGGAAAGGGCTATTAAATTGGCAGGTAACATCACCGATCAGCAAACCAAGGACATTAATTCAGTGCCAGCATACTCAATTGCCTGTGATGTGACCGATATTCAATGCGCTTTTATGCAGGTATGTGAACTCTGATGGACCGCAAGAAGAAATGATCAAATTAATATCACTGAAAGACCAGAGGCTGTGCTGAAGTGTTTAAATGACAACGAAATAAACACCAACCACCTGATATCAGTGGCTATTTAATCATTAAGGCTCATTATGTATTTGTAGCCAACTTAGTCATTTTTATAGTAGGCTAATATAGCTACTATAGATACATACAGCATGTGTATCCTTCATTATAAGGCTTATATAAGGCTTTACATTTTTTGCGGCTCCAAACATATTTGTTTTTTGTTTTTTTTGGTCCAATATGGCTCTTTCAACATTTTGGGTTGCCTACCCCTGGATTAGACCCTGAGAGAGAGAAATAAGCTCACGCACACCTGATCCAGCCATCCTAACCTAACACCAACAGACATCACAGTCCAGCTGTTTAACCTTTTCCGAAATCATTTTACCATTAATTTCAATAGCAATTATAATGTCAGCGTGATTTAAAACACTGTGTTATATATCCTGATTCCACTTCCCTGTTTCTGTTCTATCTTTAAATGCCCCTTCTTAAGGCTGGAATACAATGCACGCCTGAACACTTCATGACTTGTAAACAGTTGCAGAGAAAACGACTGACAAGAACTAAATCACAAACTACTAGACTATCAAGTCATTTTGAGAACCACAAACTCAAACAGAAACACATGCCTCATTTCAAGATGCATGACAAATTAAAACATGTGTTCTCTCATTAAAATATCTGTCTGGAGTCTGCGTCTACATGTGAACTCATTCAGACTGCAGATCATGATTGTCATAAATGAATCATCCTGCCAGTCATACTGAACATCTTAGTGAAGGTAGTGCAGTATTCCAGCATATAAAATGAACTGATTGGATAAAAGTGTGTTGCATTACACTGACCTTTGACCCTTATTTCTCGTATTAAAGTTTCTGGCCCCAGGCTGCCATCTGTTGAAAGGAAAAAAAACAACTCAATTATAATTTGAACAAGTGATCAATACCTTGTTTTGGTAGATAGCTAGGTGGAGAGTTGGTCTTTGGTGTCTGTCTGAACACATTTGACAGAGGACAGTATGAAATCGATCTTCTTAAATGCATTTTGTCAGCCTCTGGAAGTGGTCTAAAGTGGACAGGCTCCCATTTACGCCTGGATTTAGCATCATTCACTCATGATCAGGTTAATAAAAATACATCTTAAAGGGAGTGTTCACCCAATAATAAAAGTGTACATGGGAAAACTAGGTTGCTGTTGAAGTGATTGCGCTCAACTTGCGGTCTGTGAGAGTCTTAATATATGAGAGTCTTGATCTGTGAGAGTCTTGATATATTGTTATTTTTAATATTCTATTTTTATTTTTTACATTTCTTTGCTTTATTTCTATATTATATTTTATGTTCATATTTGTTTGCACTACTGCTGCACTGCTTTGGCAATACGAATGTACAGTTGTTTGTCATACCAATAAAGCACCTAAAATGTGAAATGTGAAAAATGTCTTAACGCCCCAGTATAGTAAAGGGGACAGTTTACTGTGAGTGACGTCTCTCGGATGAGACGTTAAAGTCCTGACTCTTTGTGGTCATAAAAAAATCCCATGGCACTTCACATAAAGAGTAGGAGTGTAACCCAGGCAAAATTCCCTTTAATGGCCGTTACCCATCATGGCCTTCCAATCATCCCCATCCACCAAATTGTCTCTATCACTGTCTCTTCACTCCACTAATAGCTGGTGTGTGTTGAGCGCACTGGTATGTTGTCCTGTGGCTGCCGGCGCATCATCCAAGTGGATGCTGCACACTGGTGATTGTGAGGAGAGACCCCCCCTCATGATTGTGAAGCGCTTTGTGTTAATGGCCAAACAGGATAAATGCACTATATAAATACACATTACATTACATTTACTTACTATTTACTCAGGTGGTTCTAAACAACTTCACGGGTTTCTTTTTCTGTTGTACAAAAATTTTTTTTACAATATTTTGAAGAATGCTTGAAAGCAGTAAGTGAGAGAACTTTTACATTTGTGATTCAGTACACTTGGTCCAGACTAAAGGCAACAAATGATACATTGTAGCATTTTTCTGCCGTTTTTGGTTTGTTTTTACACCACACTGATTGCTTTGGTCTGAAACAGTTGAAAAGAACCAAAATGCAGTCATGTGACAAAATCCACATCTCTCATTGGCCAGATGTTATTGAACGTATTTGCGTAACTGCTTTTTGATTGGTCAGAATTAACATGCCAATGGAACTCCTGCAAGTAAACAAACCGTTGTTTTTTTGCAGTGATGACCGCGCTGGCTGATTGTTTCCCTGCTCATAGTATACTATATGGTTGGTATAAATTTTTTTTGACAAACTATACATTTTGAGAATGAAGCGTGGCTGGAAAACAATGTTTTAATGCATCGCAAGTCACTTTAGGAGGAGGTGTGAATTAAATGTTAAACTGCGACATGGTCAGCTTCTGAAAATATTACTACCGATCCATCATGTAATGTTTTGTTGGTAAAGCGCTGTCGACAAATATTTTTCCTCCACATCCCAAAATGTACAGTGCATCGGACTACGGCAGCTGGATTAGTCCAAAAAGGCGCAGTAGTTTTTGCGTTTGGGTTATAGTTCAGATCATGTTCTCACCACAAACGAACCACTCCAGGGTTTGTTTAAAAGCGTACCGAGACCACCTCTTCAAGGAGGTCTCTGTATGCTTTTTTGGCTCGCTTTTGGTGCGCACTCGAATGCGACTGTTACATTCACACCTGCCCAAACAAACATGCAAAGAGTAAATGATGACAGAGTTTTCATTTCTGGCTGAACTATCCCTTTAATTCTTTGTGGAAAAAGGGTCCTAGATTCTGTAGTATACGGTGGCCGGGTAGTGCAAAACTATATTACAAAGTGTGAAACACTTTTACAAAGCTTGGGACAAATGTACATTTTGAAAAACATTTTTACCTGTCATCAGACACAATTACATAGGAAAAACAATTTTACCAAGGACAAAACTAATTTACATTTCAGAAAATGTACACAAAACACTTTTACAAGTCCCGAAACAAATTTACGATTAGAGATTCCTTACGGAAAGGGAATGTACCACACACCGGAAGTGACGTGGAATGTACCACACACCGGGAGTGACCCGGAATGTACCACACACACTAAAAAATATCAATAATATCCAGCTTGTGTGTGACTTTGTAGACAGGTTTCCACAAGTCTACAACTATAAAAATCATGGTTTGACCAACTGTGATTAAAACATATTAGAGCTGTTCCTAGAAAATATCAGCGCGAGAGTATGTAGAAACATGTAAACGCAAGTACATGGAAACAATCAAAGCATGGCACTTGTTGACTGATAAAGATATCAAAACTGACCCCTATCTGTAGACCTGAGTAGCTTAGTTAGATAGGTCATTTGATACTTGTGCAGAACCTTTTGACTTGTGTTTGAATCCTGTTGAAGACATGTAAATTATAATTATTTCTTTACATTAATTTAGGTTTCATACTGTTCAGTCACAAATATTCAAATAAATAATGTTTACAATGACACTGACACCAAATAATAAGAGTCTTTATTCGGTTTGGGCATGTTTTGTTGCTGTGAAAAAGTGACGAATCTGCAAACGTGAATAGTTTACATCTGGAAAGGGGCCTCAGTTAACAAGGACAGCAATTAAACCGTAACACTAGCTATATTCAGTTTACTGTTAAGAGTCCTCAAGCAGATGTTTACACCATGTAAACTTGACATCATGTCTATGATTACAGCGTACGAGTGGCCCTCGTTAAAATATTGAACAAACTGATGCAGTATGTCTGGTGTTTCCGTCTGGTCCGCGTCCATTATAAACTCTAAACACCAACCACACGTAAAGCAAAACTGCGTTAAGCTGCTCAAGTGTTATCCACAAAACGGCCAAAACAACCCTCGACCGCAGTCCATGTTCGGTCACAATAAACTTGGTTTACACCATGTACGCCACAGCACAAATTTACTGCGCTCGCCAACAACAACAACAACAACAACTTCTTCTTCTTCTTCTAGTGTTTTATGATGATTTGGCAAGCCACGAACAAGTGCATTACCGCCACCTACTGATCTGGAGTGTGGATTGTGCATAATTGAGGTAGAAAGAAAACACTCAAGCTTAAACTTAATATATATGATAAAACAAATGATAATAAAAATTACAATTCTAAATAAATAACACAACAACAACTTTTCCCCGCGTAACCGCCGGTGTGTGGTACATTTCACGTCACTTCTGGTGCGTGCTACATTCCCTTTCCGTAAGGAATCTCTAATTGTAAATTTGTTTCGGGACTTGTAAAAGTGTTTTGCGTCTTGTAAATTTTTTTCTGAAATGTAAATTTGTTTCGTCCTTGGTAAAACTGTTTTTCCTATGTGATTGTGCCTGATGATAGGTAAAAATGTTTTTCAAAATGTACATTTGTCCCGAGCTTTCACACTTTGTAATGTTGTTTTGCACTTCCCGGCCACCGTAGTAATAAGACCTGATGCCTATCTATCATACATCAATCATCCTTATTCTTGCAACAAAATACTCCAATGAAATTGTTACAACTGCATTTACTTCCGAAGTAGTGAGTTTTGCTTCTAAGAATCAACTAGAAAAATGCATTGTGTTTCTAATTCAGTCTGTGATTGTTTGTTTACTCACCGTCTTGTGTGCACGTGTCAGAGTTCTGCTGTGCTGCTTTCAGCTGTAATACTGTTGGCTTTTGGTCAAGATCCTCAGCAACACCGTCCTCCTCTACAATCTGCAGTTTGTCTTCATCATCTGAATCTGAGGTCGCCTCCGGCACACTGCAAAGACTCCTCACTACATCAGACACACATAATGAGCTGTAAGTTTAGGATCACAAACGTTCCCAATGACAAAATAATAGAAAATTCCACACTAGCTTTGAACTCCGGTCTATTTTGGTACTGATAAAGCACCTTTTTGTTTCCTAACAAGCAACTTGTTAAATTTATTCAAGTGGCTATGGCTTGGTAATCGGTTTCTGTACAAAATATGCACATATATGCATTCAATAAAAGGTAGGATATGTGCCATCAAGACAGGAAGTGACATTTAGCTAAAAATAGATCAGTTTCCTACAGCCCAGAAAAGGTAACATCATCAGAGACATGAATATAAAGAAGGATAAGCAGTGTTTTTATGTTATGTTAGTGCAGATGCATTGATGTTAGCATTTGATTTGTTGACCCCCCCACCCCCCTTAAATCCCAGGGTTTTTCCTGTCTCATAATGAGGCGGAGGTGGTTTCCCAATCATGATATTTTTGCTACTTGAATCAAAGACATTTTGCATTATTCTTGTAATCTTATCAAGTAAAACATTAAGGATGACATTAAATGGAATTAGACACAGTTGAAGTCTGAATTATAAGCCCCCCTGTTTGTTTCCCCCCAATTTCTGTTTAATGAAGAGAAGATTTCAACACATATCTAAACATAATAGTTTTAATAACTCATTTCTAATAACTGATTTATTTTATCTTTGTCATGATGACAGTAAATAATAGTTAACTACATATTTTTCAAGATGCTAGTATTCAGCTTAAAGTGCAACTTTTCTATAGCTTTTCTATAGCTTAAAGGGACATTAAAAGGTTAACTAGGCAGGATAGGGTAATTTGGCAAGTTTATGTATACTGATGGTTTGTTCTGTAGACTATCGAGAAAATATATATAAAGAGGCTAATAATATTAAGCTTAAGAAATATATATATATATATATATATATATATATATATATATATATATATATATATATTTATTTTTTTTATTAAATAAAAATGTTTAAAAAATTAAAAACAGCTTTTATTCTAGCCAAAATAAAACAAATCAGACTTTCTCCAGAAGAAAAAAATATTATCAGACATACTGTGAATATGTCCTTGCTCTGTTAAACATCATTTGGAAAATATATAAGAAAAAAAATTCAAAGGGGGGCTAATAATTCTGACTTCAACTGTACATGACCAGGGCTTGAGTATTATGATAGCTGTGACTGCTTGTCTGATTTTTGTCAAAAGGCAGAGGTGTTAATTTTTGCTGAATATACATCTCTATGCAAGAAAAACCCTGAATGCAATGGCTCCAGTTTTCAAATGCCTTTTGAATGTGAACATGCACATGGAGAGCTCATATTTGATATGCGTGTGCTTGTACACACATGTTGGCATATGAAGAACACTTTCAGATGTTCATGTGTCAAATTTATGTTTCTGGTGTGTTTAGGTTTAAACATGTTTGGTTTTTAAGGAGCTCATCCAGTTCCTTCTAGTAGAAACAGAGGATGTCAACAGGACATGGTGTAAAAGTGATCTGATTATGCAAAAGTTCCTGTTTAAAGGTTTCAGTTCCTTGAAATGACCTGTACAGATTCATTTTACATACCTGTCCAAGCCAAAGCAGGGATAAGGCTATGGCTTTTTTACAACACAGATGTAAACCACAGATGTTAAATTCCTTCAAAATCCCATTTTGGAAATGAAGAAACTTTTTTTTCTTCTGCACAGCTATATAGCCAATGTGAGGTAATCTGAAATGATATTATTTCTGATAGTAATACATTTCAGTTTGTCAAAATGAATCTTCTTGTTCCAGGGAAGGAAGCTCTGTGATGATCTCTGAAATTATAGTGGATCTCATTCATTCATTTACTTTTTGGCTTAGTCTCTTTATTATATCACATTGATATCACATATTATATCACAGTGGAATGAACTACCAACTTATCCAGCTTATGTTTTACATAGAGGATGGCCTTCCAGCTGCAACCCATCACTGGGGAACACCCATAGACTCTTATTCATACTCATACACTACAGTCAATTTTTTTAGCTTACACAATTCTCCTATACCGCATGTCTTCGGACTTGTGGGGGAAACCAGAGCACCCAGAGGAAACCCATGCAAACACAGGAGAACATGCAAACTCTACACATAAATGCCAACTGACCCAGCCTAGGCTCAAACCAGCAACCTTCTTGCTGTGAGGTGACAGAACTACCTACGGCGCCACCGCATCGCCCTGGTGGATTTCATAAAGTACAAAAAACAAGACTGACAATTTCTGCCTGAACTTTTAAGGTCACCAGAATAGCTTATGACGTTTTTTATTTACTCTAACATCCCATGGGACACTTAAAGGTGCAGCATGTAAGATTGACACCCAGTGGATGAACTAGGTATTAATTCCTGGATCAAAAACAAACGCAAGCGCAGGTTGCCAGATTAAGCAGCGAGTCTGATGATCGAGCCCAAAGGCTGATTTAACTCTTTGTTCTAAATTATAGGCAATGTCAAACTATAGAGTTAATAATCTGTATATTAAAAGGAGTTTTTGTTCTAACCAGCACCTCAAATTTATATATTAGAAAAGGCTTCTATTTCTTGCAGCTGAAGAACAGGATAAACTGTGATCACCTTAGGTACACCTTATGTATTCTACACCTCTTTATTCAGTGTTAAATGCTAATAATGTGAGTTTGAATGTCATTTTACATGGCATTTATTGCCATACTACTGAAAGCAGCAGCAGATAGTTCACTGCAGATCGTGAAAATAAAATAAACTGCTTGAAATTGAACTTTAGAACTGTGACTCAAAACCAACACATATTAGAGATTTGGCATCTACATGTAATAATGTTAAAGAGGTTTAATATGTATTGATTAGATTCTAAATCTAACCATTTCATGATTGAGTGCATATTCTGTGCTTCTGAATGGCTGCATTTCAATTTCTGTCGTGTTTCGTATGGTGCAAATTGGTTATCACTGCAAATCTTATCACCTAACATGTAGTGAGGACAAAGGGTTACAATGTAACCTGCTCACCTAATGTTTACGCTTGTAATATTTATATTTTGTTGCTTATTAATAATCACGTCATGTGGAACTCTGAATCTGCGGCTCATTTTGGAGTCTGCTACTGTCCACTGGAGGTCACATTTCGGTCATGGTCGCATGCTTTGAGAGCCATTCTGAATGAATGAATGAATGAATGAATGAAATATGCGGTTTTGCAACAAGGCAACCCAGGGTGCTGAAATATAATTGGCTAAACTGGCATTGGGCGGGTTAAAATGACCAAAACAAAAACAGTGTTCCGGCACAAAATGCGCACTTTTAAAGCAGAATATCTGACTTGCATTGTGTTTCAGATAAACAAGAATGTTCACTTAGCATGTTTCTTAAATATCTGCAAACATACTGTTACAACCAAAACATATTTTTTTGTGTGTAGGCCTTGCATATTGTGTTGTGCTCCATCCTGCTCTCTCTCTCTCTCTCTCTCTTCCTGGCTCTCAGGTTAATTAGCTCCCGGCTGCTAATCATTATGAACCTGTCTGAATCGGAGTGGTTTTGCTATAGATGGCTATAAATACTGGCTTCTGAAGCTAGTGAGCTGAGGAACACTTCTCCCCAGCTCTTAAGTGTAGCAGTTGGTTTTTGTGATATTGTTCACTTATAGTTGTGTTGTGTGCTGATATTGTTCACAAGTGTTTGCAGTAGTTGGATTTTGCAGTACTTGGATTAATCTCTAATGCCAAATTAGCTTTATTGTGCCTTCATTCCTATTCATTATTTTGTGTACTTAAAGTGTGCCTAAAGGGTGAGTGCCTTATTTTGTTTTGTATATCTTTTTGCCTGCTTATGGTTGAGAGTGGAAGCTCAGGGAAGTTTATGATGTTGATTTTCATCTTTGATTTTGCATTAGGTAAACTAGTCCTCTAAACTTTATTTAGCTGCTTTCTGTTTGTTGTTTTAGGCTATACTCACTCAGTTTTGACCTCTAGTTTCAGTTAAAATTTCTATATTCGTATTAAATAAGTTTAGATGATTTTTTTCTGAACTTCATGTTGACTCTTCACTCTGGGGCTGAGGATTGAAGTGTGTTCTCCACGTTTATCTTTTTTTAAATCAGTTCTAATTCATTATTATTTACCAAATTCTGGTCTTCTCTCTTACACCTTTTAAGCAAAAACTCCTTGACTTTAATAAGGTCGTAACAATATTATGGTATTATTGTGCTTTAGAAGAGTCAAAAACTTCCAATTAGCACCTTTAACTAACCTAAAAGTGGTACTATGCCATACTATGGTTTGTGTTTAGCAGTAAAGCGAGTATATCGTTGAATATGTGTACCTGTTATTTGATGCAAATATCATCAGAAGAGCTGCATCTGTGTACTATAATAAAGCAGTATAATGTTTTTAGCTCACACACATGATGGTAATTGTTCCTAATGTATACATTTTGTCTAATGGATGCCCTTGTTGATGAGTTATGAGTGTAAAGAAGAGATTAATAAAGTCAAAGTCTGCTTTATTGTTAATTTAACCACGTGTATAGCACATACAGAGAATTGAAATTGCTCTCAGACCCTAGGTGCCTAACAGATAATATTAACACGAAAAGTACAATTACACATATAATATAGTCTAAAAATATAAGTAAAAATAATTAAATATGTCCTAATTATATGTCTTTTATTATTAAAATGTACATATGCATTCTTATCAGTCATAAATCTGCCTGTATACTAATATGAAAACAAGCAGCCTGACAATTCTCTTTTGATCTGCTCCAACAGATTTTAGAAAATCACAATGGCTTTAAATGGCACGAGGGTGAGTAAATGTATTTGTTTTAGGGTGCACATTAAATGGGATACACACTTGTTCTGATTTTATGGGTGTGATTTAGCACACCACCTGAGAAGCGGAGCAAGTTGGCAGGTAGAGCTGCTCCAGTGTGACCTCATAATCAACACAATCAGGTCACTAAGGCAACCTCCATTTCA